GTGTCGTTTCAGGCCGTTAGAGTCGATCCACCTGCAAAATATAAAACAGAACAGATTTTATTGAATGAATTTCTCCTTTGCCGCCTGTTGTGTTTATGTCTCTGTAGTTTTGACCTCTGACCCCTGTGGCCTCTTAGTCCTGGTCTGGTCCTGGTTTAGTCCTGGTTTAGTCTTTGTATAGTCCTGGTCTAGTCCTGGTCTGGTCCTGGTCTGGTCTAGTCCTGGTCTAGTCCTGGTCCTGGTCCTGGTCTGGTCTAGTCCTGGTCTAGTCCTGGTCTAGTCCTGGTCCTGGTCTAGTCCTGGTCTAGTCCTGGTCCTGGTCTAGTCCTGGTCTGGTCTAGTCCTGGTCCTGGTCTAGTCCTGGTCTAGTCCTGGTCCTGGTCTGGTCTAGTCCTGGTCTAGTCCTGGTCTGGTCTAGTCCTGGTCTGGTCTAGTCCTGGTCTAGTCCTGGTCCTGGTCTATGGTCTGGTCTAGTCCTGGTCCTGGTCTAGTCCTGGTCTGGTCTCTGTTCTTCAGGAGCGTCGTAAGTTCGGGGCTCTGGGCTGGAACATTCCGTATGAGTTTAATCAGGCCGACTTCACCTCCAGCCTCCAGTTTGTCCAGAACCTCCTGGACAACACGGACCCGAAGAGAGGAGTGGACTGGACCTGCCTCAGATACATGCTCGGTCTGTATTGGTCCCGGTCTCGGTCCCAGTCCCGGTCCCGGTCCCGGTCCCGGTCTGACCTTCTCCCTCTCCCCAGGTGAGGTCCAGTACGGCGGCAGAGTGACCGACGACCTGGACAAGCGTCTGCTGAACACGTTCACTCAGGTTTGGTTCGGTGAAAACCTCTTCACCCAAACCTTCTGCTTCTACAAAGGATACGGCCTCCCAGAGAAGATCTGCAACCTCCAGCAGATCCTCCAGCACCTGGACGAGCTGCCCACCGTCGACTCCCCGGAGGTAAGAGAGCAGACGGAGGCAGACGGAGGAGCAGACGGAGGAGCAGACGGAGGAGCAGACAGAGGAGCAGACAGAGGAGACAGGACAGAGGGAGCAGAGGACAGGCAGACAGAGGAGCAGACAGAGACAGAGGAGCAGACAGACAGAGACAGAGGAGCAGACAGAGGAGCAGACAGAGACAGACGGAGAGAGACAGAGGAGCAGACAGAGGAGCAGCAGAGACAGAGGAGCAGACGGAGACAGAGGAGCAGACAGAGACAGAGACAGACAGAGGAGCAGACAGAGGAGCAGACAGAGACAGAGAGAGAGAGCAGACAGAGGAGCAGACAGAGGAGCAGACAGAGACAGAGGAGCAGACAGAGACAGAGGAGCAGACAGAGGAGCAGACAGAGGAGGAGCAGACAGAGGAGCAGACAGAGACAGAGGACAGGAGACAGACAGAGGAGCAGACAGAGAGACAGAGACAGAGACAGAGACAGAGGAGCAGACGGAGGAGCAGACAGAGGAGCAGAGACGGAGGAGCAGACAGAGGAGCAGACAGAGGAGCAGACAGAGACAGAGGAGCAGACAGAGGAGCAGAGACAGAGGAGCAGACAGAGAGCAGACGGAGGAGCAGACAGAGACAGAGGAGCAGACAGAGGAGCAGACAGAGGAGCAGACAGAGACAGAGGAGCAGACAGAGACAGAGGAGCAGACAGAGACAGAGGAGCAGACAGAGACAGAGGAGCATCAGTTTTGTTTCTTTCACGTCTCGTTTTGTTTGTTTCAGGTTTTCGGGCTCCACCCAAACGCTGACATCACCTACCAAACAAATCTGGCCAATCAGACGCTGAGCACCATCATCAACATCCAACCAAAGGACGGAGGGGGCGGAGCCGGAGAGACCAGAGAGAGCAGTGTGCAAAGACTGGCCAATGAGATGTTAGAGAAGCTACCGCCCGACTACGTCCCCCACGAGGTACTCCCCCCCCCCCCCCCCCCCGAGGTACTCCCCCCCCACGAGGTGGTACCCCCCCCCCCCCCACAGGTACCCCCCCCCACGAGGTCCCCCCCCCCCCCCCACGAGGTACTCCCCCCACGAGGTACCCCCCCACCCCCCCCCCCCCCACAGGTACTCCCCCCCACGAGGTCCCCCCACGGGTACTCCCCCCCCACGAGGTACCCCCCCCCCCCACGAGGTACTACTACTACTACTGGTTCGGTCCCGGTTCGGTCCCGGTTCAGTCCTGGTTCGGTCCCGGTTCGGTCCCGGTTCAGGTCCTGGTTCGGTCCTGGTTCAGTCCCGGTTCAGTCCTGGTTCAGTCCTTGTTTGTTTCAGGTTCGGTCTCAGCTGCAGACTCTGGGGCCTCTTCAGCCAATGAACATTTTCCTCAAACAGGAAGTCGACCGAATGCAGCGAATCATCAGCCGAGTTCGGAGCACGCTCAGTGACCTGCAGCTCGCCATCGACGGTGAGCGACACACGCCCCCGAAACCAGACCACGCCCCCGAAAACCAGACCACGCCCCCGAACCAAAACACGCCCCCGAAAACCAGACCACGCCCCCGAAAACCAGACCACGCCCCGAAACCAGAACACGCCCCCGAAAACCAGAACACGCCCCCGAAAACCAGACCACGCCCCCGAAACCCGACGGTCTGGTTCAGAGTGTGGATCAGACCGTTTTTTTCTGTCTGAGTCTGACCCGAGTCCGACAGTTAAAATCACACAAAATACAAAACACAAACTCAGAAACAGAGAAAATAATGATGAGACTTTATTGTTTTTGTGTAAAGTGTTAAATTGAAAGTGCAGCGTCTCGTCTGTCAGCTGATCTGCTACAGTCAGAGATTTAAAATCCCATCAGATTCTTCTTGTCTTTGTGGTGTGAACTTTTTGTCACACATTTAAAAATAATTTAAGACTGAAAATCCTGTAGTGTGTGTGGCGCCTTTAGCTGTTTTTAATTGTTCTAATGTTTTATCTCGCTGATGTGTCCGAGTCTTGGTTGGACTTTGGTCGGGTTTTCAGAACAGCAGCCAGTTTCAGCCTCGACAGAGTCTGGATGAGTCTGTCTGGAGAAGTTCCTTACCTCTCCCTCTCTCTGTCTCTCCTTCCTCTCTTCCTTCTCTCAGGTTCTATCGTGATGTCTGAGGAGCTTCGTGATGCCCTCGACTGTCTGTTTGACGCCCGTGTGCCCGCGGCGTGGCACAGGCTCAGTTGGGCGTCTGCGTCTCTGGGCTTCTGGTTCAGTGAGTTTCTGGAGAGGAACCTTCAGCTCTGCTCCTGGATCTGCTCTGGAAGACCTCACACCTTCTGGCTCACCGGCTTCTTCAACCCTCAGGTCAGGTTCTCCAGGTTCTCCAGGTTCTCCAGGTTCTCCAGGTTCTCCTGACCTGGACCGGGCTCGGGTCTGGAGAAACGTGGCAGGTGAATAAAGCCTTCAGTTCTGTTGTGTTCAGGGTTTTCTGACGGCGATGCGGCAGGAGACGACCCGTCAGAACCAGGCCAGGGGCTGGGCCCTGGACTCGGTGACGCTCAGTAACGACGTGACCAGACTGATGAAGGAGGACGTGTCGGCCCCGCCCCCTGAGGACGTGGGCGGAGTCTACATCTACGGACTCTTCCTGGACGGCGCCGGGTGGGACCGACGCGGCGCCAAACTCACCGAAGCACCGCCCAAGGTCTGTGTACGGTAACGGGAGGGCATCTGGTTTAGTCCTGGTTCAGTCCTGGTTCAGTCCTGGTTTAGTCCTGGTTTAGACCTGGTTTTAGAGCTGGTTTAGTCCTGGTTTTAGACCTGGTTTAGTCCTGGTTTAGTCCTGGTTTAGACCTAGTTCAGTCCTGGTTTAGACCTGGTTTAGTCCTGGTTTTAGAGCTGGTTTAGTCCTAGTTTTAGAGCTGGTTTAGTCCTAGTTTTAGAGCTGGTTTAGTCCTAGTTTTAGAGCTGGTTTTAGAGCTGGTTCAGTCCTGGTTTAGACCTGGATCAGTCCTGTTTAAGTCCTGTTTCAGTCCTGGTTCAGTCCTGGTCTCCCATGATGCCTCAGGTGCTGTTCTCTCCTCTTCCTGTCGTCCACGTCTTCGCCGTCGGCTGCGGCGACAGTTCCAAGATGGCGGAGGGCGGGCGTTCCTCGTACTCGTGTCCCGTCTATAAGAAGTCGCGCCGCACCGACCTCAACTACGTGTTCAGTCTGAGTCTCCGCTCCAGCCGACCCCCCCAGCACTGGACCCTGAGGGGCACCGCTCTGCTCTGTGACTGCACCTGAGGGGGGGGGCACACCTGAGGGGGGCACCGCTCTGGAGTCTCTGGAGACTTTCTGGAGATTTAAGGTCGACTGTGATTGTGTGCGTGGGGGCCTCACCTGGACTCACCTGACCTGCAGAGGACTCACCTGGACTCACCTGGACCTGCAGAGGACTCACCTGGACCCACCTGGACACCTGGACTCACCTGGACTCACCTGGACCTGCAGAGGACTCACCTGGACCCACCTGGACTCACCTGGACTCACCTGGACTCACCTGGACTCACCTGGACCTGCAGAGGACCCACCTGGACTCACCTGGACTCACCTGGACCTGCAGAGGACTCACCTGGACCCACCTGGACCTGCAGAGGACTCACCTGGACCACCTGGACTCACCTGGACTCACCTGGACTCACCTGGACCTGCAGAGGACTCACCTGGACCCACCTGGACTCACCTGGACTCACCTGGACTCACCTGGACCCACCTGGACCTGCAGAGGACTAACCTGGACTCACCTGGACTCACCTGGACTCACCTGGACTCACCTGGACTCACCTGGACCTGCTCAAAGACTCTGGACTCTCATTTCATGTGAGTCAAACCTGAACAAAATGATTTTCTACAGTGAGTTTAGACCAAGTCCATCTGTGTCAAAGTGTGATTAAAGTATTAGAGTAATATTAGAGTAATATTAGAGTAATATTAGAGTAATATTAGAGTAATATTAGAGTAATATTAGAGTAATATTAGAGTAATCTCATGTAGTATCAGAGTAAAATCTCCTGTAGTATTTATTTCTGTCTCTGTATCTGCAGATGTTTCTGTCACAGTTTAAATGATTCTTTATATTTAAACTTTGTCTTTTTGTTTTTGTGTTTTTCATCTCGACTCGTTTCATCCAAAGACAAATTAAAAAACAAACAAACAAACAAACAAACAAACCAAAATGAATTCCACTTTATTTTTTCACCAGGACAAAAACAAACGTCCATGCAGCACTCACACACAACACACGAACACACGAACACACGAACACTAGAGGTCATCAAAGGTCATTCACAAAGGTCACACTGAGGTCAAAGGTCAAAGGTCAAAGGTCAGCTCCTCGTTTCCAGGTGAAAAAGTCTCAAAGATTTAATCAAACTCAAAAAAACTCTGAAACCCCGAGGTCCAGACAGAAACTCACCACATTTATACTCAGACTGTAACACCATAATACTACAACTACAGTACTACAGTACTACAGGACTACAGGACTACAGGACTACAGTACTACAGTACTACAGGACTACAGGACTACAGGACTACAGTACTACAGTACTACAGTACTACAGTACTACAGGACTACAGGACTACAGTACAGTACTACAGTACTACAGTACTACAGTACTACAGGACTACAGTACTACAGGACTACAGTACTACAGTACTACAGTACTACTACTACAGACTACAGGTACTACAGTACTACAGTACTACAGTACTACAGGACTACAGTACTACAGTACTACAGTACTACAGTACTACAGGACTACAGTACTACAGTACTACAGTACTACAGTACTACAGGTACTACAGTACAGGACTACAGTACTACAGGACTACAGTACTACAGTACTACAGACTACAGACTACAGGACTACAGTACTACAGGACTACAGTACTACAGGACTACAGTACTACAGGACTACAGGACTACAGTACTACAGTACTACAGACTACAGACTACAGTACTACAGACTACAGTACTACAGTACTACAGTACTACAGGACTACAGTACTACTACAGTACTACTACAGTACTACAGTACAGTACTACAGTACTACAGTACTACAGGACTACAGGACTACAGGTACTACAGTACTACAGACTACAGTACTACAGTACTACAGTACAGTACTCAGTACTACATACAGTACTACAGTACTCTTCATACAGTACTACAGTACAGTACTACAGTACTCTTCATACAGTACTCAGATACTCAGATACTCAGACCTCTGTGTGTTGTGTGTGTCGTCCCTGATCACGTCTGTGGATGAGGGACACTTTTCCTGAACTGAGAACATCTGACCCCAAGACACAAACTACATTCTCCAGGACCTCCAGAACCTCCAGAACCTCCAGGACCTCCAGGACCTCCAGGACCTCCAGAACCTCCAGGACCTCCAGGACCTCCAGGAACCTCCAGAACCTCCAGAACCTCCAGAACCTCCAGAACCTCCAGAACCTCCAGGACCTCCAGAACCTCCAGACCTCCAGGAACCTCCAGGACCTCCAGGACCTCCAGAACCTCCAGAACCTCCAGGATCTTCAAGATCTGCAGGACCTCCCCCGGCAGGTGTCAGTTTGGTCCTGGGTGAGTCCAGGTTTGGTTGAGGTGAACATCATCAGAAGATTGTGTAAGATTCTGGTGTGAGTCTTAATCTGAGGTTTAACCGTATCTGCTCCTCTTTTCTGTTGTCAGGATCAGTTCAGTCCAAACCTGTGATGGTCCAGTTTAAGTCCTGGTTTAGACCTGATGTAGACCTGCTTTAATCTTAGTCTAGTCCTGGTTTAGATCAAACTGGTCCAAAACAGAGACACTGGGACATTTCTCCTATAAACTTGGACAAATCAGTGTTTTTGTATAAATGTGCGGAGACAGAGACACAGACTCAGGACTGGGACGTCTGGACCCTAAAGAAGGTTCACTTTATTGTCCCCGTAGAGGACATGTGTCCTCTGCGTTTCCGGGTCTGGTCTTGGTCTGGACCTGAGCTGCAGAGCCACAGACACAGGGAGAACATGTAAACTCCTCACAGAAAGACCTGGGAGTCGAACCTGGAACCTTCTCGCTGTGAGACGAGAGTGAAAGTTCTAGTAGTTCCAGTGACAGAAGTTCTAGTTCAGTCTTGGTCTAGTTCTGGTTCAGTCCTTGAATCACCCCTGGAGGAGGTCAGAGGTGAGTTTGGTCTTGGGGTCAGAGGTCAGGGGGAGTTTTATTTGTTCGTTATATTTGAAACACATTTTTTTTTTCTGCTCCAAACTCATCACATTTTCAACTCGTGACATTAGCACCACATTTTTGTAAAGTTCTAAAATCATTCGTCTCTCGCCAAATAAACCCCGGCTCCTCGTCGAGCCTCATGCTCATTTCACTTAAACACAAAACACTAAAGTCTCTGGAACTTCTCCTCGTCCTCCTCGTCCTCCTCCTCGTTCTCCTCGTCCTCGTCCTCCTCGTCCTCCTCCTCCTCGTCCTCCTCGTCCTCCTCGTCCTCCTCGTCCTCCTCCTCGTCCTCCTCCTCCTCGTCCTCCTCGTCCTCCTCGTCCTCCTCCTCGTCCTCCTCCTCCTCGTCCTCCTCCTCCTCGTCCTCCTCGTCCTCCTCGTCCTCCTCCTCCTCCTCGTCCTCCTCGTCCTCGTCACATTCCTGCTTCGGTGGGCGTATTTCACACTTTAAAAAACGTGAGTCCAAAGTGACAAAACTCAACAGAGCGTCGGATCAGGTTCGTGAGAAGATGAAAACGTAAACTCTTAGTCCGTAAACGAGGCGTGTTCCGGTGCCGTCCGTCCCCGCGTGTCTCCTCTTCTTCATCATCATCATCACCGCCGCGAAACGAAGAGTCTGATCCACCCACACCTCCAGAACGTTCCTCAGAGGTTCTGCACTGACGTCACTTTCCAGCACAAAGACTCACAAACGTCTCGCGTAAGTTAAAGGTCCCAGATCACACGCTTCTGATGTTCTGATGTTCTAAAGTTCTGATGTTCTGATGTTCTAAAGTTCTGATGTTTTGATGTTCTGATGTTCTAAAGTTCTGATGTTCTGATGTTCTAAAGTTCTGATGTTCTGTTGTTCTAAAGTTCTGATGTTCTAAAGTTCTGATGTTCTAAAGTTCTGATGTTCTAAAGTTCTGATGTTCTAAAGTTCTGATGTTCTGTTCTTCTGATGTTCTAAAGTTCTGATGTTCTATAGTTCTGATGTTCTAAATGTTCTGATGTTCTAAAGTTCTGATGTTCTAAAGTTCTGATGTTCTAAAGTTCTGATGTTCTGATGTTCTAATGTTCTGATGTTCTAAATGTTCTGATGTTCTAAAGTTCTGATGTTTCTGATGTTCTAAAGTTCTGATGTTCTGTTCTAAAGTTCTGATGTTCTGTTGTTCTGATGTTCTGTTGTTCTGATGTTCTGTTGTTCTGATGTTCTGTTGTTCTAAAGTTCTGATGTTCTAAAGTTCTGATGTTCTGATGTTCTAAAGTTCTGATGTTCTGTTCTGATGTTCTAAAGTTCTGATGTTCTGTTGTTCTGATGTTCTGTTGTTCTAAAGTTCTGATGTTCTAAACTTTTAAAGTTCTGATGTTCTGTTGTTCTGATGTTCTGTTGTTCTAAAGTTCTGATGTTCTAAAGTTCTGTTCTGATGTTCTAAAGTTCTGATGTTCTAAAGTTCTGATGTTCTAAAGTTCTGATGTTCTAAAGTTCTGATGTTCTAAAGTTCTGTTGTTCTAAAGTTCTGATGTTCTGTTGTTGTTTCCTGGACTCATGTTTTGTTTCTTTCACATGTTTAACTCACAAACCTGCACATTTAGCACGAGTTCTTCTCTCAAACTGAAAACTCTCCACCTTCCACCTTGTGATGTCATCATGTGGTGATACAGGAAGTGCTCCACTGCGTTTTTAAACTCCACACACCTTCACTAGAATCAACTGGATCATTTCAGCTCTGGAATTTCTTGATCATCTCTACAGAACTAAAGGGAAAATAAGCTGTTCACTTCTGCTACCACTTCATGACATCACAAGGTGGAGCAGAGCATTTAGAGAGTAAACAGATAAATCAGGATAACTCTACAAAGTGTTAACTCAACAACACACAGAGGAGTTTTATTTTTACACTTTATTTGAGTTAATTTAAGATGAAATTATGAACAAAACGACACAGCAAAAACTGGAGGGTTCAAATTTCAGGGTGAAATATTTCAGAGTTGTTTTTAACACAAAAAGTGTGATTTTAACAATTTGAGAGTGAAATGTGTGTTGGAGTTGAGGTTGATTTGTCAGAGTTGATTTGGTTGAAGTTAATTCAACTCCCTTAGTGTTAATTTGTCTCCTCCACTTCAAACTCCCTCCAGAGAAGAACCAGTTTGAACCAGTTTTGTTCTGAATTTCATTTTAAATTAACTCAAATAAAGAGTAAAAATAAAACTCCTCTGTGTGTTGTTGAGTTAAATCAGATTAACTCTACAAAGTGTTATCTGTTTACTCTCTAAACCTTCATTTAACTCTGGATTTGGGTTAAACAGGAACTTTGGTCCAGTTTTACTTCATGAACATTTAAACAAGTGTTAAATTAACTCGAGAACAGAGTGACTCAGAGAAACTCTGAGGAAATGTTAAAAAATGATTCTGTCAGAGTCAGTTTTAACTCTTCACTTTTTGCTGTTGACAGAGTCACTCAAACAAAGAATGAAACAAACAGAACTGCAGCTCAGTGTGTGACCAGGAACAGCAGAACATTAGAACATTAGAACATGATTAAAGGTCCATTAAAGCTCCTGAAGCTTTACTCCGCCCATGAGTGAAGCGGTGTCCAATGGGGCGAGGGGGGCGGGCGTGGGCGATGATTGACAGCCTCAACAGTCCAACACGCCGTGATGCGTCCGGACTCTGAAACCGAGCGGGACATTTGTGCTTCGTGATGCCGTTTCCCGTTTCTCCAGCCTCAGTGGGACGTGGAGGTGCTCGGTCACGTCTGCACTCGTCACACAATAACCTGCGTCTGACTCAACGCCGCCGTTTGTCCGACCTGAAAACTCAAATGTCCTGCTGACCCTGAAGACACTGACCCACAAGTCACATTTTTAACAAATCTTCACCAAACTCAGACCAGACACAGAGACACACTTGTGTTTTAGACACATTTACTCAGAGAATCAGGAGGAGAAAGTGTTTTTGTGTAAAGCTCAGAGTTTGTGTGATGTGGGACCTTTAACTTTCACTGTTTTTCTTCCGTTGACTTGATTTTCTGGATTCGACGTCAGGAACAAAGTAAATATTGAGCAGAGTTGTCGACTTTTCCTCGTGTAGCAGCTCGTTCACATTTACAGAAGAAAATGTCAAAGTTCCGGAGGTCGTGACGTCACCTGCAGAACCTCCGCTCCTCTCGCCTCGTGACCATCAGGTCTCCAGTTCTGGTCCGTCGGCGCTTCTCTTTACGACAGCTGCTTCATGTCGTACATCGGGACCTCGGCCGCCTCCTCGGCTTTGGCCTCTCCCTCGGCCGCCAGGGGCGTCCCTTTGCGGCCTTTAGGCGGCGCTACGGGCTGCGCGGCGTCGGCTCCGCCCTCCGCGCCCTCCTGCCCCTCCGCCACCGTCCGCTCCTTCTTCAGGGTCAGTTTCTCCTTCAGCTTCTCCCCAGACTGTCGGATCTTCTCCCTGCGCTCGGCCGTCACGATGCGCTCGCCCAGCTTGTTGACCTTGGAGCCCAGGTTGTCGCGGGTCTTGCTGAGGTTTTCTTTGGAGAAGGTGTGTTTGAAGCTCTCGATGCGCGTCAGGCCGCTCTTCTTCATGCGTGTGGCGGCCGAAGAGTCCGCCTCCTCCACCACCATGTACTCCTCGTCCGACTCCGGCGGGAGCTCGAACTTATCGGGCTCCACGTGACGAGGAGGAGCGGCGGCGCCTCCCTCCGCCGGCTCGCTGCCCGCCGCCACCGTCTTCACCTCCTGATCGCCCTGGAACAAAGAGACACACCGAGGAACATCATCCAACAGACGTCTGGAACATCTGAACCTCTGCTCTGACCTACTGCTCCTCTGAAACTCTCCTCTGACCCTCTGTTCCTCTGACCTTCTGACCTTCTGCTCCTCTGACCTTCTACTTCTCTTGAGGTCAAATAATTCTGCCATCATCATCTAATTCTAAAGTATTTTATGATCCCATAATAAGGAAATGTTGGTGTTAGTCGCTTTAATGTCACGGCAAAATTCTGGGCGTTAAAATAACTTCTCCGTGTTTATTCATCTCTGTCCAGTATTTCCGACACGTGATAATAACGACCAACCTGGCAACCCCACACTGCCAAAAAACTGGGCCAAAATGTGAGAAATAAAGACTTAAATTGACCAGAAAATGACTTTGTGCGTCGTGAAATAATGTGTCCACGCAGCGAGATCATTTTACTTGACAAGTTCTTTTAAAATAATCGACCTCCAGACGAGAACGACTCAGTCTGAGCTCAGTGTTCACGGGCTGGAAATACGTTTACGGAAGTGAAGTTTTAGATCCTCAAAGTCGAGTATCAAATCTGTGTCACTGAATCTAAAAATAAGTGAAGTGCTGCAGGGGAAACTCTGCTCTGTGGATTGTAGCTTTTTAACCTGTTACTACCTGCCTCATTTTGGTGTGTGCACAATGGTAAGACATACCCAAATGCCATCGCTTATTAAAAGAAAACCTTAGAACCCACATGCTTGTGTGAGGCACCATTTTAAAGCTTAGACCTTCTAGTTTCTGTAGATATGTACATGAAGACTGTGAGTGCTGCCTAACCTACAGTACACTCAATTAAACATTGTATTTTTTTGCTTCGAAAAAAAATAGAAAAAAATAAAGGCCTTAGCTTGGTCATACTTCATTCTAGGCATTTGTGACTCACTACACTCATTGTTCAAGTTGTTGGCAACAACTGTGTAGAATTTCAGACTCTAGGACAAAGGGTTTTGATGCTGTGAGCCTTTGTGTAAACAAAATGACAATTCAACACAAGATTGCCAAATTTGTGCCAAAATAATAATAATAATAATAATTGTTATTATTATAATACTAATTCTTCTGAGCTTTAGGCATGTTTTCTCAAGAAAAAAACTAAAAGTAGCCAAAATTGTCTTCCAAGTGGCAGTTCTGCTACTACTACTACTACTGCTCTGTGTCTCTCCTGTTCCTCTCGGCTGCGCGTATAAACACAGGGTCCGTTTCCAATACAATCTGAATGTCCCACCCACCGTTTGAAAGCTCTGCTGATTGGCTAAAACAATATGTCAATCACTTTCTGGAAGATCCAATGACTGAAGAGATTTCCCGTAAACAAACTGATGACGCGTGCGTAAAGCCAGGAAGTACGTGAGTGCGTTAGCTTCTTCAGCGGCTTGTCCCGCCTAAACCCCGCCACCGACAACAGCGGGGAGGGTCTCATTTTGAAGCTAAGAGTGTGAGGAAAACAAGCGCACCCAAGAGCGGGAGAGAAAGGGAAGTGAGAGCGGGAGAAGAGGCGGAGAAGAGACAGAATATTTTCATTCACGGATTCATCCACTCATACGGACGACGGTTTTCTGGATTATTTCCCCACATGGAATTATTTTTTGGAAAAACAACTTATTTCTTTTTCTGTGGATTATTACGGATTTATTGAGTACAACTTTTCATGGATTGAACGCGTTTTGGACCGACAGAACCGCTCAAAGGTAAGAAACGCGTATCTTATTCTTTGTTTATGATGTGAATTTTTAAATTCACATAAATTCGGGCTCGTTGTACGACATAAAATGAATGATATGGTTGTTTTATTGATAAATGAAGCTTTCAAACGATGTATGGCCAGTAGTGAAAACAATAATGAAGGTGAATATACAGAGTGAACATTTTTTATTGGAAAATCGCCCGCCGGCGGGCGGGTGGTAAGTGGTTTTAAAAACATTTATTGCCTCAATTTAAGATTTTCTGATGAAGTTGTAGATGTAGTGATGAAGTTTATCGTCATGGAAGAAAAATCTGTGACCATTTTTTAGGTTAAACAACCAAGTCAGAACCAGTGAATAAACCATAAACCTGAAAACAAGACGAAGAACCTGATGTAAGTTTTTAAATCTTGGTCAGGTCCCTTGTAAACATGTCCCTGTGACCTTTGACCTGCGCTCATGTAACACACACACTCCCCGTCTTCACCGGCCGTCCTCTTCCCCAAGACTTTTTGATCAAATTGTTGGATTAAGATTAAAAATCCATCAGTATAGTTTTGATTTGAGACTGAAGTCCAAACCGGGACTGTCCCACAGATTTACACAAAACTACAGATTTGTCCCACAGATTTACACAAAACTACAGATTTGTCCCACAGATTTACACAAAACTACAGATTTGTCCCACAGACGTCCCTGATTCTGACCAGTCTGATCCTGCAACAGGAAAGAGAACACAAACTGACATTTGTTTAAGTAAAATACAGAAAATCTGATTAAAAACAACAAAACACAAAGAAAATGTGACTAAACTGACTCATGTTGATCATAAATGTGTCGAGTGCTGAACACGCACACACACACACACACACACACACACACACACACACACACACACACACACACACACACATACACACACACACAGACACACACACACACACACACACACACACACACACACACACACACACAGACACACACACACACACACACACACACACACACACACACACACACACACACACACACACACACACACACACACACACACACACACACTTACACACTTAATCAAACTGTTGGATTTAGATTAAAAATCTATTAATACAGTTTTGATTTATGCAATCTGACCGTCTAAATCTGGACTAAACTTGGTCTAAACCTGGTCTAAACCTGGTCTAAAGTCTGGTCTAAACCTGGTCTAAACCTGGTCTAAGTCTGGTCTAAGTCTGTCCCGGTGTCGGTGGTGAGTCTGTGGTGAAAGTCTCCGTCTGTTGGTGCAGTGACTCTGGCCGTTGGCGTTTGCTCTTTTAGACAGAAATAATCTGCAGCTGTTGGAGCGTCTCAGCTAATCTTAACTGGAGCTTTCAGCGCACGAGCTCAGGTTACACCAACGCCGACCCACAGCACGCCAAAAACACACCCACAACACACCAAAAACACACCAACGACACGCCAAAAACACACCAACGACACACCAAAAACACACCAACAACACACCAAAAACACACCAACGACACGCCAAAAACACACCAACGACACGCCAAAAACACACCAAAAACACACCAAAAACACACCAACGACACGCCAAAAACACACCAACGACACGCCAAAAACACACCAAAAACACACCAACAACACGCCAAAAACACACCAAACACACCAAAACACACCAACGACACGCCAAAAAACACACCAACGACACACCAAAAACACACCAAAAAACACACCAACAACACGCCAAAAACACACCAACGACACACCAAAAACACACCAACAACACACCAAAAACACACCAACAACACACCAACGACACGCCAAAAACACACCAACGACACACCAAAAACACACCAACAACACGCCAAAAACACACCAACAACACGCCAAAAACACACCAACGACACACCAAAAACACACCAACGACACACCAAAAACACACCAACGACACACCAACGACACGACAGGGACACGACAGGGACACGACAGGGACACGACAGGGCAGGGACAGGACAGGGACACGACAGGGACAGGGACAGGGACAGGGACAGGGACACGACAGGGACAGGGCAGGGACAGGACAGGGACACGACAGGGACACGACAGGGACAGGGACAGGGACACAGGGACAGGGACAGGGACAGGGACAGGGGACAGGGACACGACAGGGACACGACAGGGACAGGACAGGGACAGGGACATGACAGGGACACGACAGGGACAGGGGACAGGGACAGGGACAGGGACATGACAGGGACACAGGGACAGGACAGGGACGACAGGGACAGGGACAGGGACATGACAGGGACACAGGACAGGGACACGACAGGGACAGGACAGGGGACAGGGACAGGGACAGGGACACAGGGACAGGGGGACAGGGACAGGGACACAGGGACAGGGACAGGGACAGGGACACACAGGGACAGGGACAGGGACAGGGACATGACAGGGACAGGGGACAGGGACAGGGACACGACAGGGACACGACAGGGACAGGGCAGGGACACGACAGGGACAGGGACAGGGACACGACAGGGACATGACAGGGACAGGGCAGGGACATGACAGGGACAGGACAGGGACACGACAGGGACAGGGACACAGGGACAGGGACAGGGACAGGGACATGACAGGGACAGGGACAGGGACAGGGACAGGGACATGACAGGGACAGGGACAGGGACAGGGACAGGGACAGGGGACAGGGACAGGGACACAGGGACAGGGACACAGGGACAGGGACAGGGACAGGGACACGACAGGGACAGGGCAGGGACAGGACAGGGACATGACAGGGACACAGGGACAGGGACAGGGACACGACAGGGACAGGGCAGGGAGCGGCGCTAACGTAACAGCCAGGAGCCTCTGTCCCGCCTAAACGCGGCTCTGAACAGACAAACAGGAACATCTGGTTTCAGACGGACAGAACGAGGCCACAAGAACCTGGACCTGGACTAAAACTGGTCAGAGGTTCTATTCCTGGACTGTGTTTTTATGTGGCGTTTGCATGTTCTCCCTGTGCTTCAGTCCCTGACACATGTGAAGGAACATTTATCATCATAACTTTGGTTGTGTTTGTTCGATCAGACGTGTGTTTTTACTGAGTCTTAGACGTACACACAGACACACACACAAACACACACACACACGTCTATCACTTCTACTGTGACCCAGAAACCAGAGAACATTTATTTTCACCAAAAATGGTTTGAGTTTGTTGGTGGTGACGAACTCTTCAAGTCTGAATATTTAGAGTGAAAAATATTTCAACTTGTTTTTCTGTGGATATTTTGAGTCAAACGCCTGGACAGAAACATGTGAATCTGCAGGTTCATTTACTGTCACACTTTCACTGTTCACACAGACGTGTGTTTTTACAGGTTTTTACACATGTGTGAGTTTCCACTTCCAGTTTCGAGTGTTTCCATTCACTTCCTTTATAAACTCATTATTTGACCCTGTCCTTCTTAAACTTAAGGTGAAAATAATTTAGACTTTTTTCTTCTTCTTCATTCCCGTGCAGTAAAACCAAATCAATTTTAGAAAAAGAAAAACATTTTTAAAATGTGCCTACTTTTTGCCCCTCCCCCCATGACCTCCACTGTCGCCTGCAGAACTCGTTCTCTCTTTTGATTCACTCAGTTTGACACTTGCTGCTACAAAATGTGCATTAAGAGAAAAATAGTTTAGTTTTTCTCCATAAGGGATTAGTGGGATAAAACTCTGCATTTACAAAGGAAGTCAATGGGAGAAATCAGCGGGAAAAACCTTTGTGTTTCAAACGACAGTAAAACAAAACAAACTCCATCTTCCCTCTGACGGTTCACGAGGACGGTTCACGTGGACGGTTCACGTGGACGGTTCACGTGGACGGTTCACGTGGACGGTTCACGTGGACGGTTCACGTGGACGGTTCACGTGGACGGTTCAGTCACGAGGATCAGGAAACGTCACATTTGTTTTCATTTATGGAGTCACATTAAATCCCATTATAACAGTAACAGATGTGGATTTAAGGCTCATGGAAAATGGTAATTTAGTGAAAATCTCTAAAATTCTTACAGTTTACATAATTATATAGTTTTTTAACTTGGAAAATATTTTTAGGCTTTTAACAAAATGTGGATGTGAAAATGGGCGTTTTATAATGGAAGTTTATGGAGCAACACAACAAACAGCTTCATCCAAAAACAAAAAATGAACCAAAATCAATTTTCTCACTAATTTTCCACATGTAAAAGTCGATCACACTGAGGAGTAAAAACATAAATATTATTAAAATATTATTACTGAATTATTACATATCGTTTGAATTTGTTGTACTTGGTGTTTCAGCGTCTAAACGGTGAAATATTTATGTTTAGAATCAGTTTGTCAGTGGAAAGAGAAACCTTCAGGAAAAACATAAAAAATAATAATAATAATAATTTACAAAAAATGTCCCAAAGTTCAATATTCACTCTGAACATCCACAAATTCCGAAACTGGACCCCCCCCCCGGACCCCCCTGGACCCCCCCTGGACCCCCCCCCCCCTCCCTGTAAAGTGTCTGAATCATCTGGACTTTAGTTCACAGTTAATGTCATAATGTAAGAATGTTAACCACTCTGCCAGTGTCTGGACTCAGCCACAAACGATGAGGAAACTCCTGACCCGGATGCCCTCCCCAGAGTCTGAAAGGTCACACATGACATCATCCAGACCGGACCAGGACCAGACCAGGACCAGGACCAGACCAGACCAGGACCAGACCAGGACCAGGACCAGACCAGGACCAGACCAGGACCAGGACCAGACCAGACCGGACCAGACCAGGACCAGACCGAGACCCGACCGAGACCCGACCAGGACCAGACCAGGATCTGACCGAGACCTGACCGAGACCAGACCAGGACCAGACCAGGACCAGACCGAGACCCGACCAGGACCAGACCGGACCAGGACCAGGACCAGACCAGACCAGGACCAGACCGAGACCAGACCAGACCAGACCTGACCGAGACCGACCAGACCAGACCAGGACCAGACCAGGACCAGACCAGGACCTGACCGAGACCCGACCAGGACCAGACCAGACCAGACCAGGACCTGACCGGGACCTGACCAGGACCCAACCGAGACCCGACCAGGACCTGACCGAGACCCAACCAGACCCGACCAGGACCAGACCAGGACCAGACCAGGACCAGACCGGACCTGACCGAGACCGGACCAACAGGGCTCTATGTCTGGAGTCCAAGAAAAGCTCTGGTGAACCAAGACTAGGACTAAACCGGGACTAAACCGGGACTAAACCGGGACTAAACCGGGACTAAACCAGGAGCCTGGACTTCCACGCTGCTGCAGTGTGAACAGTCGATCGTATTTTTGCTCAAACTGATCTGAGGTGTTGTGTTTCCGAGATGGAGCCGCTCCAGCTCCAAAATAACCACAACAGCTGCAGCCAAGGCCCAACCAGGACAACCAGGACTAAACCAGGACTAAACCAGGACTGAACCAGGACTAAACCAAAACTAAAAATGGACTAAACAAGGACTAAACCAGTGACCAAACCAGAGCTAAAGAGGGACTGAACCAGGACTAAATCAGGACTAAATCAGGATTAAACCAGGACCTGAACCAGGGACTACATCAGAACTGAACCAGGACTAAACCTGAAACATTTGTTCTGCAGAAGGTCTGATAAAGACACTAAACCAGGTCCAGTCTAAATATAATCTAAAGCCGAGTTAAACGTGGGTCTGTGTCAGGCCCACGTCAGGTCCAAGCCGGGACTAAACCAGGACTAAACCAGGTCTACGTCTGGACTAAACATGAACCAAACCAGGATTTATGGATTTCAGGATTAAAAGTGTTTCAAGTCTGTTTCTATTTCTCTGGTTTAGTTTTTTTTAAAATGACCCTCTGAAAGGAAAGAGCTTTTAAACAGTCCTGGTTTAGTCCTGGTTTAGTCCTGGTTTAGTCCTGGTTTAGTCCTGGTTTAGTCCTGGTTTAGTCCTGGTTCAGTCCAGTCCTGGTCCTAGTTTTAGTCCTGGTTTCAGTTTTAGTCCTGGTTTAGTCCTGGTTTCAGTCCTGGTTTTCAGTCCTGGTTTAGTCCTGGTTTAGTCCAGTCCTGGTTTAGTCCAGTTTTAGTCCTGGTTTAGTCCTGGTTCAGTCCTGGTTCAGTCCTAGTCCTGGTTCAGTCCTGGTTCAGTCCTGGTTTTCCAGTCCAGTTTTAGTCCTGGTTCAGTCCTGGTTCAGTCCTGGGTTTCAGTCCTGGTTCAGTCCTGGTTTCAGTCCTGGTTTAGTGGTTAGTCCTGGTTCAGTCCTGGTTTAGTCCTGGTTCAGTCCTGGTTCAGTCCTGGTTTAGTCCTGGTTCAGTCCTGGTTCAGTCCAGTTTTAGTCCTGGTTCAGTTCTCACCTGGTAGATGACGACTCTGAACTTGTTCTTGGCGAGCAGATCTCCTTGTGTGGCCTCGACCTTCTTGACCCGGAGGTTCTGGGTCTCGACTCGGACCCGGACGTCCTTGATGTGGCGACTGACTTTGCGCGTCTTCTCGAGGAGGCGCGTGACGGTGGCGCTGCTGTTGGCGTGATCGTTGGTCAGTTTGATGATGTCGCTCTGGATGTTCTTCACCGTGTTCTCCAGCTCCGTCTGACGCTCCTCCATCCGGGTCTGCGCCGCCTGCACGCCGTCCACCAGGGCCGCCACGCGCTCCAGCAGCGCCATCACGCCGCCCGCCTCGTCGCCGCCCGCAGCTTTCTCCGCCATCCCGGGTCACGCGCCGAACCCCCCGCGCCTAAAAGTCCAACGCCAAAAAAACCTCACGCCAAAAACCTCACGCCGCCAAAAAAGCCCAACGTCAGACAGAGGAGCGGAGGCGGAGGTACGGAGCCGGGACGCTTCAGCTGGACCAGAGGAGAAGTCTGAAGTGACGTGAAGCCAAACGGAGAAGATCAAGATCAAGATCAGAAAAAAATAAAAATCTACGTTTTAAATCCTGAAAAGTTCAAATCAGAAGTGAGACGAGACGAGACGAGGGCTGGAGATCCGAGCTCAGGGGGCACAGGGTCTGAAATGAGCTGAAGGAAAGTGACACCGCACAGACTCAGGGGGGAGGGGGGGAGGGGGGTCACGGGGGCGGGACATGAGGGGGACAGTTTTAGTCCTGCTTCTCCACACTCTGGCTGTGTTCACTCTGCAGCCTGAAGTTCCTAAATCTGATTTTTTGTCTCTTTGTCTCCTGTTCAGTCTGCAGGTTTAACGCTCAATTCAGATTTTTTTGTGAAATCTGATGTTTTTTCGAGCTCGTTCACATTTCCAGTTAAATGTGACTTGTATGTGACTCCAGTGTGAACATTAAACGGTCCAAAAGTGTCCCACATGTGACACTGGAGACACGACGACGTCAACCGCAGCGAGCGTCTCTGTGTTTACACCTGGAGATTTTAAAGTTCCTCTTGTACCGGAGCCACAACATGAACAAATCTGATTTGGGAAACTTCAGGTGCATGTGAACACAGACTAAGTTCCTGGGTTCCTAACCACTCACCTCTGTCACAGGGAGAACACTCATACTCCACTGAGTCACTGTGTCTTTTACAAGACCGTTTTTTCTTTTTTTCGCTTAGTTTATGCAAATGGTTCATGTGTTTTTTAGTTTTGTTTCTGTGAAACTTGAACAAATCTGCACAAATTAAACACATGAAAATGTCAAACAGCTGATGTGGATCTAGAGTCGTTTTGTTGATGTTGTAAAGTTGAAGTTTATTTCTGCAGATTAGTCACAGTCATAATAATGATACTTATATAAAAACCTTAATGAAACTATGAAAATGATGTAATAATGAATTTAAATGAAAATACTTCAAGTTGAAGCTTTTCTCAGCAATTTTTAGGTGAGATTAAAAAAGAGATTAATTAGATTAATTCCAGATCATAATTAATTAAAATTTACATTTTTTAATCTCTTGATAGCACGAGTTTTTATATACGCTAATTTATATCTTATTCAAATGTATATTTATTTATATCATTATTATTATTGTTGTTGTTGTGGAAAAAAATCATGTATCTCATAATGATAAATACTTCATCGGTTTGTGAAACCTCGATGAGTTTTTGGAAAACAGACAAAGGTTTATTGTTGTTCCAGACGCATCGGCGGCGGCGGCGGCGGCGCGGCGGCGGCGGCGGCGGCGGCGGCGGCGGAGAGACAAACACACATCTGAGCACAGGTAGAACGTTCATGTCTCTCACTCTGTGTTTGGATTCAGCTCCTTAAATAAACAAATCAAACATCGAAGTAAAGTTATGAAATTTAATATTGGAAATTTCATAATCAAAACTCCCTAAACACTTGGACTGGGATCATTAAGAAACTGCAGATACGATACATCCCTCGATACATCGCACTTTCAGTTCGATATATTTCAAATCAATTCAATACGGTTCAATAAAAATAAAGGCTTGATCCTGTGTGACACTAAAAGTCTTTTTTAAATCACTTCTTCTTGTGCAAAATTCATCTGAAACACTAATATTTTAATCAAAACAGTGAAAATGTCAAATGTGTCGCATAAACGAGTTTCCGTCAACAACAAAACTGGAGCTGGAACAAAATAATTTAGTGAAATAAACAAAAAGCTCCTCTTGGTGAAGTGTGAAGAGTCCCTCAGTCCAGGCAGAATCCACCAGGAGAAACTTCAGTTTGTCGACTGGACAAAGTGACTTTGGTTGGAGACGTTTCTCAGCTCATCAAAGCTGCTTCAGTTCTGCAGCAGTTTGGACCAAAACCAAACTGAATTTTCTCCTCTTGGTGATATATCGATACAACAGCCCACGATATCGATACTGAATCATCACATTAAATGATACGATATATTGATATTGTGATATTTTTGCACAGCCGAACTAAACACTCAGGGTCACAGGTTTTCTTCAGGACGTGATGTTTTACTTTATTGTTTAATCTGTTTGTCTCAGGCAGAAAAGAACTTGACAAAATCTATCGACTCTTTAAAAAAATCATGAATTTATCTTGATTGTAACTGAACAGATACGACCTGATAAACTCTGACAATATGAGTTTTTCTTCTGAGACGCGGCTGCTCCTCGTCCAGTTCGGATCAGAGCAGAAGAGCAGAACATGTGGATCTTCTGTAAATGTGACCATGAACAGTTGTTTTTCTCACACACAGAAGCAAAGATCTGGAACTCGCTTCAGCTGAACTTAAAACCTGCACAAACTCTCCACATTTTCTCTCACGGGACAAAACGACGTCACATCAACATCAGACTTTTACAAACGTTTAAACCTCCTGAGCTGCAGACGTGTTGTGGAGATGTAAATGTGTGTTTGACTCGTCACGTTTGTCCTGAGTCTCATGTTGTGGATCACATTTTTTTTTAGAGGAAAATCAGATGATGAATTTTGTTAAATGTTCGTTTTAGATCAGTGTTTCCTAAAGTCTTTGCTGTGATCCTCAGGTGAGTCGTAAGAGATTTTTGTGTGTTTTTTTTGTTGTGTGTGTGTTTTGTGTGTCTAATCCCGATCTGCATGTGAGTGTGTGATATCCAGTCCTGCCACACGAGGGCGCTGCGGAGTCAGTGAGTCTTCTGTCCTGAGCGAGTCTTTCTGAAGATAAACTTGAGAAACGCGACTTGTTTATCCAAAAATAAAAGGTGATAAATCAGCAAAGATCAGAGATTTCAGGAAACTTCTGGATCCTTTTACTGCTGCTTCAATCACTGATTTTTATTGTTTCAAACTTGAGTAAAACTGATTATTCACTCAGTCAATAATAAAATATCCTCTTTAATGTTCAGTAATGATCAAATCCAACTTTATTTTAAAATGTATGAATAATGTCCTGAAGGTTTGTGACTTTTAAAATGTGGATTCCCAGAAAAAAAGTTTGGGAAACACTGATTTAGAGGATTTTTATGACAATTACATTTTCACAAGACAAGACTTTGACTAATTTATTGTTTATTATTTATTGAAGATATTGATGAATTTGAAATCTTGTATTTATGGAAATTTGTTATTTAAAAAAATGTGTTATTAGTTAATTCATTTGGACGGTTTTAATGATGATTTGGATTGTGGTTATTTTAAGGATTGTTGTTGTGTAAATAGTTTCTCTAATGCAGGAGTGATTTAGTCCTGGTTTAGTCCTGGTTTAGACCTGGTTTAGACCCAGTTTAGACCTGGTTTAGACCTAGTTTAGTCCTGGTTTAGTCCTAGTTTAATCCTGGTTTAATCCTGGTTTAGTCCGGGTTTAGACCTGGTTTAGTCCTGGTTTAGTCCTGATTTAGACCTGGTTTAGTCCTGGTTTAGTCCTGGTTTAGACCTGGTTTGGTCCTCGCACAGGGAGCACATTCACTCTTCACTCAGAGATCAGGAGTTCGAACCCACAACCTCCTGGTGAGAGGGAGGAGGGGCAAACCACTCTGCCACAGGTGAAATGAGACTCACAGATTTAAAACAGGTTATAATTTAGTTTATTGATCTACAGCACTGAACGACACGTCATGCATCACGCACATCTACCGTAAACATGTGACCCGCCCCGCCGCCACGGCACCCCCCGCCGCCGCCACGACACCCGCCACGCACCCGCCCCTGCCGCCACGACACCCGCCCCCCCCCCGCCGCCGCGGCACCCACCCCCCTGCCGCCACGACACCCGCCACCACGGCACCCACCCCCCTGCCCCACGACCCCCCGCCGCCGCGGCACCCACCCCCTGCCGCCACGGCACCCCCCCCCCCCCCCCCCCCCCCGCCGCCGCCACGGCACCCGCCCCCCCGCCGCCGCGACACCCACCCCCTCCCCACCAAAACCTCCCCCCTCCCCACGGCACCCTCCCTGTTCCCGTGGCGCCTGCCCCCGTTGCGCCCTCCCCGTTGGCGCCCGCCCCCGTGGCGCCCGTCCCCGTGGCGCCCGCCCCCGTGGCGCCCGCCGGTGCCCGTGAGCGGCGCGGCGGGTGCAGCTTATCGAGCTCGAGCTTCTCTACGCGGATAAAAACAGCCAAAGACGTCGTACCAACAGTTACCAGCACGACCAGCAGGGGGCAGCACAAACACAAATACAAAAGAGTGAAGAAGACTGACGCACCTCTGAGCCTCCGCACGGCTCCGTTTAGTCCCGGGTCAGACCTGGTTTAGTCCTGGTCTAGACCTAGTTTAGATCTGGCTTAGTCCTGGTTTTGATCTGGTTTTAGTTCTGCTTTACTGAAGTCCACGAGGGTTTGAACATCTCATTTTTGTTCACATTTTAAAATATTTTCTGTCTGGAGCACAGAGAACGCTCCTTAACTTAGACCTGGTCCTGGTCCTGATCCTGATCCTGGTCTCAGTCCTGGTCTCGGTCCTGGTCTCGGTCCTGGTCTCGGTCCTGGTCTCGGTCCTGGTCCTGGTCTGAGGCTAAACAGAGAAACGCTGCACATTTGGGTCTGAATCTTAATTAAAGCTGCACTGCGTCACTTTTCTACTGGAGGATCCGTCAGCTGCTCGGTGACACAGAGGTTTCTGCTGTACCAGAAAGATTCCGCAGTGTGGCATTAAACCTTTACAAATGACTCTGGAACATTAATGTGCGAACAGTAAAATCTCGTTAGACAAACCAGAAAAGTTCCTCAGTGCAGCTTTAACTTTATAATAATCGTCTGTGTGTTTTGTTGTGTTGTTTGTGCTGCCCCCTGCTGGTCACGTGTGGCATCTTTACATTAGCTTTACCTTCAGTCAAAAACACGTAAAACATTGCGATCCATTTCCGGAATGGCGTCGGTATCAGAAATCTTACAAAATCATAAAAAAGAGAATTCAAACGATAATTCTTCCCCCGCGCGGATCTGTACACGAAAAGTACAAAAGACAGCATCATTTTGGTTTTCAAAAACTCAAACGGGAATCAAAGGAGACGCAGAGTCCGAACTCTGGTCCCCGAAACTTGAGTCGCAGAGTCCAAACTCTGGTCCCCGAAACTCAATGAAACGCAGACTCCGAACTCTGGTCCCCGAAACTCAATGAAACACAGAGTCCGAACTCTGGTCCCCGAAACTCGAAACGCAGAGTCCGAACTCTGGTCCCCGAAACTCGAAACGCAGAGTCCGAAATCTGGTCCCCGAAACTCAAGACGCAGAGACCCAACGCTGGTCCCCAAAACTTGATGAATCGCAGAGTCCGAACTCTGGTCCTCGAAACTCGATGAGATCCAGAGACCCAACGATGGTCCCCGAAACTCGAGACGTAGAGTATGGACGCTGGTCCCCAAAACTCGATGAAACGCAGAGACCAAACGCTGGTCCCCGAAACTCGAGACGCAGAGTCCGAACGCTGGTCCCTGATCGGCCAAAACTCGATGAGACGCAGAGTCCGAACGCTGGTCCCTGATCGGTCCAAACTCAAGTCCACAGAAAAAAACACAAGTCCATTCTTCATTGAGAAATAAATACAGAGGCTCAAAAAGTCTATTTACACGAGAACACAGAATCTGGACGTGAAGGAGCAGTGAGGCAATCTAGACCTGGTTTAGAACGAGTTTAGACCTGGTTTAGTCCTGGTTTAGTCCTGGTTGAGACCCAGTTTAGACCTGTCTTATACTTGGTTTAAACTAAGGACTGATGTAGACCTGGTTTAGTCCCTTTATCCCCTGGTTAAATCAGTGGTTTTGCCCCTGGTTTAGACCTCGTTTAGTCCTGGCTTAGTCCTGGTTTGGTCTTGGCTTAGTCCTGGCTCAGTCCTGGTTTAGTTCCGGCTTGGTCCTGGTTTAGTTCTGGATTGGTCCCAGATTAGTCGTGGTTTAGTCCTGGTTTAATTGTGGTTTAGTCACAGATTGGTCCTGATTTGGTTCTGGTTTAGTCTTGACTTGGTCCCAGTTTAGTCCTGCTGTAGTCCTGCTGTAGTCCTGGTTTAGTCCTGCTGTAGTCCTGGTGTAGTCCTGGTGTAGTCCTGGTTTAGTTCCAGTTTAGTCCTGGTTCAGCCTTAGATTAGTCCAGAGAATAACCTTGAGCTGTAGCTGCACTGTTGTGATTTGAAAAGCGTTAGAAACACGTCGGCGTTGGCGTCGCGTTGGCGTCGGCGTTGGCGTCGGCGTTGGCGTCGGCGTCCGTGCTCTGCGTCTCACCGGTCGGATCCTCAGTGCCCAAAACAAAACAATAAAAAAAAAACGGCAAATAAGGCCTCGAAGGAACCAAACGGAGGAGAGGAAACAGGCACCGCGAGGTCAGTGTGTGGTCCAAACACGAGAGTAAAAAAACGTCACAGGGACAGGAAGTGACATCATCTGCGGGCACGACGTTACATCATCCGCGACGAGGTGCCCGACGGGAAATGGCCGAGGTGCTGCTTCTGCCGGCGCCCGCGTTTCGATTTGTTACACCGTCTGAAAAAGAGACGCACAAAACACGTTACAGGGATGAGGACAGATCTATGTTCCCACAGCTCTACGTTCCCACAGATCTATGTTCCCACAGCTCTACGTTCCCACAGATCTACGTTCCCACAGCTCTACGTTCCCACAGATCTACGTTCCCACAGCTCTACGTTCCCACAGCTCTACGTTCCCACAGATCTACGTTCCCACACAGCTCTTACGTTCCCACAGCTCTACGTTCCCACAGATCTACGTTCCACAGATCTACGTTATCGTTCCACAGATCTACGTTCCCCAGCTCAGATCTACGTTCCACAGATCTAGCTTCGTTCACACGAGCTCTACGTTCCCACAGATCTACGTTCCCACAGCTCTACGTTCCCACAGCTCTACGTTCCCACAGATCTACGTTCCCACAGCTCTATGTTCCCACAGATCTACGTTCCCACAGATCTATGTTCCCACAGCTCTACGTTCCCACAGATCTACGTTCCCACAGCTCTACGTTCCCACAGCTCTACGTTCCCACAGCTCTACGTTCCCACAGATCTACGTTCCCACAGCTCTATGTTCCCACAGATCTACGTTCCCACAGCTCTACGTTCCACAGATCTACGTTCCCACAGATCTACGTTCCACAGCTCTACGTTCCCACAGTTCTACGTTCCCACAGATCTACAGTTACGTTCCACAGATCTACGTTCCCACAGCTCTACGTTCCCACAGCTCTACGTTCCCACAGCTCTATGTTCCCACAGCTCTAGTACCTGGTGAAGCACATGACCACGGCGACGATGACGGCGATCTGCACGGCGCCGATGATGGCGGCGATCAGGACGTAGTGCAGCTTTTGGCCACTGGGGACGACGTAGAGAATGTTAAAGTCCAAGAGCTGATCACACTGAGGCCCCCCGTACGCCGCCTCACACCTGGACCAGACACACAGAGAGAGAGACCGGGTTAGACCGGGGTTAGTCCTGGTTTAGATCTGGTTTAGATCTGGTTTAGATCTGGTTTAGTCTGGTTGGTTTAGTCCTGGTTTAGTCCTGGTTTAGTCCTGGTTTAGATCTGGTTTAGTCCTGGTTTAGTCCTGGTTTAGATCTGGTTTAGTCCTGGTTTAGACCTGGTTAATCCTGGTTAAGACCTGGTTTAGTCCTGGTTTAGTCCTAGTTCAGAACTGTTTTAGTCCTGGTTTAGTCCTGGTTCAGTCCTGGTTTAGTCCTGGTTTAGTCCTGGTTTAGTCCTGGTTCAGTCCCGGTTTAGTCCCAGTTTAGTCCCGGTTCAGTCCTGGTTCAGTCCTGGTTTAGACCTGGTTTAGTCTGGTTTAGTCTGGTTTAGATCCTGGTTTAGTCTGGTTTAGTCCTGGTTTAGTCCTGGTTTAGTCCTGGTTTAGATTTGGTTTAGTCCTGGTTTAGTCCTGGTTTAGACCTGGTTAATCCTGGTTAAGACCTGGTTTAGTCCTGGTTTAGTCCTGGTTTAGTCCTGGTTTAGTCCTGGTTTAGTCCTGGTTTAGTCCTGGTTCAGTCCTGTTTTAGTCCTGGTTTAGACCTGGTTCAGTCCTGGTTTAGTCCTGGTTTAGTCCTGGTTTAGTCCTGGTTTAGTCCTGGTTCAGTCCTGTTTTAGTCCTGGTTTAGTCCTGGTTTAGTCCTGGTTAGTCCTGGTTTAGTCCTGTTTTAGTCCTGGTTCAGTCCTGGTTTAGTCCTGGTTTAGTCCTGGTTTAGTTCTCACCTGCAGGTCGGCAGGTTTTGTCTCATTTCACATTTTCCGTGTTCACAGAACTGGGCGTAGTCTTCGGGACAGGGGGCGGGGCTCTCGACAAGCCCCTCCCCTTCACCGGGTTTGGACACGGCTGAAAATAAAAACACAAAAAATATAAAAAACAAAACAAAAAAAAATCAACAGTAACACTTTAGTTTGGGAAGCACATATTAATAAAAAATAAAAAAAAAGAAGAAAAAACCCTCAATTCCAGGGCACCAGGTCTCACCGTAAACGTCCGGTTTGGCTTTGGCGCCGTCGTCTTTACGGTTTTTATCTAAAAAAAAACAAAAAACAAACATTTATTATAATGTAAAACTGACACTGACCAGCAGAGGGCACCGACACACTAATGCAACCACAGACACACACGGGGAGGGACCTGACACACGTGGAGGAGGGACCTGACACACACGGGGAGGGACCTGACACACACGGGGAGGGACCTGACACACACGGAGAGGGACCTGACACACACGGGGAGGGACCTGACACACGTGGAGGAGGGACCTGACACACGGGGAGGGACCTGACACACACGGGGGGGGGGGAGGGACCTGACACACACGGGGAGGGACCTGACACACACGGGGAGGGACCTGACACACACGGGGAGGGACCTGACACACGTAGAGGAGGGACCTGACACACGGGGAGGGACCTGACACACGCGGGGAGGGACCTGACACACACGGGGAGGGACCTGACACACACGGGGAGGGACCTGACACACGTGGAGGAGGGACCTGACACACGTGGAGGAGGGACCTGACACACGTGGAGGGACCTGACACACACGGGGAGGGACCTGACACACACGGGGAGGGACCTGACACACACGGGGAGGAGGTCACGTGACACACAGGAGGAGGTCACGTGACACAGGAGGAGGTCACGTGACACACAGGAGGAGGTCATGTGACGTACCGGCGCAGCGTCCCACATGTCGGATGTCGATCTTGGTCTGTTTGAGGCACGACGCCTCTCGGACGTGACACGGCGTCGGGTAAGTGTCACCGTCACTGCCGCACACCGGGTTCTCATTGTGCCCGTTACACACGATGTTACACATGCATCTGCAACACACACACACCGAGTCACACCAGGTCACACTAAGTCACATCGGGTTTAGTCCTGGTTTAGTCCTGGTTTAGTCCTGGTTCAGTTCTGGTTTAGTCCTGGTTCAGTCCTGGTTTAGTCCTGGTTTAGTCCTGGTTCAGTCCTAGTTTAGTTCTGGTTTAGTCCTGGTTTAGTTCTGGTTTAGTTCTGGTTTAGTCCTGGTCTTACATCAGGTCCTCTGAGTCTTCGTCGCACTCGGCTCCGTATTTGCAGTTTCCACATTTAGAGACTTTTTTCCCGCGGCCGGAGCCTTCGTCGTCTGAACAAACAAACAAACAAACAAATAAACAAACATGATGAGGATTTTTATTTATTTTGCAGATTATAGATTTAAAATCAGATTTAGTGAGTCTCACCTCCGTCTGCAGATCCTGAACCTCCGTCTGAGGAGCAGAGACACAGTTAGACAAGATCTTAAACCAGGACTGACCCTGGATCCCTGGTCTCAGGTCTAGACCGGGTCTAGACCAGGTCTACACCCGGTCTCAGGTCTTACCCTGGTAGCAGGCTCCCTGGTCTCAGGTCTAGACCCGGGGCCTCATTTATAAAAACTGCGCAGGAGTTGTCGTAAGTTCGTGCGAACGTCTGTAGCTACGACAGACGTGCGCCACAAACTCCACATTTAGAAAACCCACCGCACGCACCAAACCTGCAACCTAACCACGCCCCCTCACACCTCCACCTCACCATAAAAGGGCAGACCACGCCCCCTCACACCTCCACCTCACCATAAAAGGACAGACCACGCCCCCTCACACCTCCACCTCACCATAAAAGGAGCAGGTAAAGTGACTCGTGAAGGAGATTTCCCTAAACATGAGTCGATAATCAGTGGGTTTGACCGAGACACGCGGGACAGAGGGAGGAGGAGGCTCCACGCAGCACCACGTGATCACGACAAACACTTTATTAAAGACTTTATTAAACAAGGTTTAATAAATAAATACAAAACTAAAAGGGACAACAACGACTCATCTGTTCATTTAATCATATTTTATAATATTTAGGCAGCACATCTTTGCAGTAAAACACATGTGTTTTATCTCTATATTTTTAAGTCTGTGTATGAAGTGTGTGTGGACTGGTCCTGTATATTTAATGTATATATATCTGCATAAACATGTAGATACGTGCACGCGCTGATCTGAAT